GAGTTCGGGTCTGCTTGAAGAGGCCAGGGGTCCTTGGGGGTGTGGCTTGGAAGCATACACCTTTTCTTGGGCCCTTTCCTTGTCCCTCTGCTTTCTGACCACCGCGAGGTGAACAGATCTCCCCCACCAAGCCTTTTGGCCCGGATGTCTCTACCTTGGAGCCAGGTGGCCAAGGACCAAAGCCTTGGAAGCTGTGAGCCAGACACCTCTCCTCCCCTGGGTATTTCAGGTGTTCGTCACAGCACTGGAAAGAAGACTAATGCACCCCATGTGAACTCCAGACTGAGATCATTTGCTCCCCAAGGAAGAGTGCCCCTCTGGACAGCACAGCCCATCTCCCTCAGGCCTTTCCAGCCACCCAGTCATCTCAGAGGAACAGCCAATTCAGGTGAGCATCTGATAGCTGTGTGTTGTGAATTTCACGCTGATAAAAGCTGTGGTTTAGGGCCAGGGTAGTGGTGCATACCTGTAACCCCAGCACTCAGGAGACTGAGACGAGAGGATTGGGAGGCAGAGGCCCACCTAGGATACACAGTGAGTTCAGAGCCACCCAGGACTACATAGGGGGACTGTGTGTCAGAAGGGGGCATGGCTTTCTTCCCTGTGTTGGTGTTCTCGACTGCAAGAGGCAGCCCACCAAAGTCACGGCCTTCACACCTAGCGGCAGAGCGTTAGCGATCGGCCGAGACGTTTCTCTGCAGTATTTGCACCCACACTTAGCATGCAGCACTCGCAGATCCCAGTGTCTTATTTCAAATGGAGAAGTCACATTTACACTCTTGATCCCAAGAATTCATTGTATTTGGTTAGAAAATAAATTTTAATACAAGGTATTTTTAACTTTGTGTGGGAGAAGAAAGGTAGAATAGACAGGACAGTAGAATGCTCACAGGTGGATAATTATACATGCAAATGAGTTCAATTTGGTAATTTTCTCTTGAATTCCTTTTTACATACTTTAAATTTTATACTAACCCCACATCATCACTGTTTGCAAGGTAGTTTTTTATTCGATGTCAATTTTGAAATATTGAATGCAACTTAGAACATTTTGATATAACCCATTTTCTCAACTGTAAGAATATTTTTTGGATTGTTTTACTTACCCTCATACCTGGTCCACAAGGGATAAAAATTATTCTCTTCATTTAAAAATCACTGGGGGTCTGGTGAGATGGCTCAGTGGTCTAAAGCACCTACTTAGAACAAGCTAAGCTTAGCAAAGCACAGGGACCGCGGTTCAAACCCCCAGCACCACATGCCAGCCAGCCCCGCCCCCTGGTGGGCTGAGCTGGCCACACACACACACAAAATAAATAAATCAAAAAATAAATAAATAAATAAATAAATAAAATAAAATAAAATAAAAATCACTGGGCATGGTGGCATATGCCTGTAACCCTACCTCCTGGAAGGCTGGGGCGGGAGGATCATTGTGAGTTTGAGGCCAGTCTCAGCTACATAGTAAGTTCAAGAACAGTCTGAACTACATAGCGAGACCCTGCCTCAAATACGCCCAAAAAGTTAAAAAAAAAAAAAAAATGAAAAACTATTATTGTTTAGAACCATGAAGCCACAATGGGCAACACAAGGGTGCAAAGCTTCAGGTTGAGAACTGTAGGGGGGGGGGCAGTGGGGCGATGCCAGGGGCGGGAAGACTAACAGGAGGCTATTGCTGGGTGGAGGAGTAGAAGATTAAACAGGACAAATGATGACGTGGGAGACGACAAGGCTCCAGGGAACACAACTGACGCGCTGGGGCAAGGCTCTGCGAGGGGCTGATATCAACCCCGGTTAGAAGTTGGTAAAGTCCTTGAGAACTCAGCAGACTGGGAGGGACAGGGCTGTTGGGGTTGAGAAGTGATCAATTCTGTGTCGCCTGTGCACAGGTGTCTGGATCCCTGGAAATTCAGATCCACGGGCTGTGGAAATGCTGGACACAAGGATGAGCGCTACAGTCATGGCAGAGAAGGGTGACGGAGACTGCAGAGAGAACCCAGGGCAAGGGCAGAACGCAGGGGTGGCGGGACAGGCAGGCTACGAATGCCGTGTTACTTACTGCCCTAGAGCAGCCCCAGGGTGACATGCTTCACCCCTGCATATTTCATCACGCCCTGCTATGAAACAGGGACAACCCAAAAGAAACTTTTAAAAGAGAGTTCCACTCGCAACATTTCAATTGTTGCGATTTTTTAGGGCACGCAGACTGCTACCCATTATAGGAATTCATGGGCGTCCTCGAGAGTATAAAAAGCCTAGAATACATGACCAGCAGCCAGCGCTGAAGTCATGCTTGAGAAGGGTTGGTGTGGTTAGGAACACAGCGACCACGCAGCGAGGTAGCTCAGCTATGGGCCGATTTCTGACACTAAGACACTTGAGCATTCTTGTAGGTCAAGACAGAGAAGCAGAGCAGACGAAGGCTCTGGATGTGAGAAGAGATACAGGATCCAGCACTACGCATTCATCGCAGCTGACAGTGAATGAGCCCTTTCACTTTTTATTCTGAGGCAGGAAGGGGCTTACCAAGTCGCCCGGGCTGTGCACAACCACGCAATCCTCTTGGCGTGGCCTCACTGAGGCCAAGTGAATAAACTCTTACAGGTTAGCACTCTTCCTTTTCGCACAGGCAGGAGCAAAAAAATTTCTGCTCTCAAGCTGACCTCACGTGGGGAGAAAACAAACCAGCAAACAGATGCAAAACAGAAAGATAATGCAATGAAGTATAATTAGTGACTCAAAGTAAACCGGAAGCTTGGGACAGAGGCCACCACACCCAGGCAGAGGTGGGGAGGGGCTGGAGGGAAGGCGGGAGAGAGAAGCGCAAGGTGCGGTGGGGGGGCCACAGATGGGGCTCCGAGCACTTCACCTCATGGGGGGATGTGGCGGGGCTCAGCCCTCCTAAGCCTCCTAGAAACTGAGATGCCAACTCTACATTAATGGAGCCGACTTCCCCCACGTATACTGCTGCTATGAAACAAGCACACACTTTAAAGAGATCCAGTGATGGCAAATTTGCCATTCTTCTTTATTCATAGGCAAACACCTGCCCAGTTATTTATCTTATTCAGGAGGGACAAAAAAGATATGTATAGAACACTATTTATCTAAAATTCTAAATCTTTCGTTTTCAGGTATTTCAGTGAAGAATGGTATTAAAATCTCTAATCCTAAAATGCAGTGTTTTACATTAGCTTTACAGGACTCAATAAGCTTTTAGGACTAGGTCTTTCGGGTGTGGGAAAAAGTCATTTTTTTCTTTTAAGCTTTAAGTTAGGTAGAATGAAGACTAAAAATATAAAGTGCTAGAAAATCAGACTTAACAGTGGGGGGAGGCCCTGATTTTCTTGTCCTTGATATTTCTGGTGTAAATATCCCCACTATGGCCTATTTTAAGCTGCCAGT